TATAATTAAAAATAATACAGTTTGGAAATTATCCAAATATTTAGTTGTTGGCAGTTTAATATTGTGACTTTCTATTTAGATGACTTAATCAGAGTTTGTTTCCTTTTAATAATTTGTGTACTGTTTTATATCAGAAAATCATGACACAAAGAAAATTGTATTGATTCAATATAATTGGTTTTTGCAAGAGTGATTTTTCCGTGGTGGCTTAGAGAGCCAGAAAAATTTTGTATTTCTGTGTGTTTAGTTTTGAAATTGACATGTACAGGTTTTATTTATTTGTAATAAAATGTATCTGATGTTTTATAATATAAAGTCACCTCGTTCTGGCCTATTTCTAACAAAAGGCATAATAACAGCTGGGTACAGTGTTGCACACCTGTATTCTCAGTGGCTGGAGATGATGATACAGGAGGGTCAGCATCAGCAATTTAGTGAGGCCCTAAGCAACTTAGTGAGACCCTATCTCAAAATAAAATATTTTAAAAAGGGCTGGAGATGTGACTTAGTGGTTAAGCACCCCGGGTTAAATTCTCAGTACCTTCCCTCCACCCCCCTAAAAAAAGATAATACAAAGTAGAAAATTTTCTTTCTCTGATCTTTTGAAATCATTTCCCATTTTACAATATTTAGTAAAATATTAATGTTGCAAAATCAAATATTACTAAGTTGAAAATAGATAAGTACTTATTACTGAATAAAAATAAATTCATAGGCTTTATTTAGAAATAAAACTTATTTAGAAATATCTTAAGAAATAATTTATGTTATTTATAAGTATTTTGTGAAAGAATCCATTTTTAGAAATAGCAAATTATTTTAGAAATAGTTTGATTATAGTCATTATACAATTGTGTCCATTTCTAATAGATAAATTAAAAAATAAGAAACTGACAAAATACTAGCTAATGAATATTTCCAAAAACTAAGGTTAACAATTTTGAAAAAGAACCAGTTATTTTCATTTTCTGTCAACAAATGATGTGAAATAATAGTCTTGAAAAAAAAATGTTTCTAATTAAATATATTACACAGTATCCCATATTTAACACTACAAAACTTTTATAAAATTTAATTCTGGAAAACTGTTGTCAAGTGAATTTAAAGTTTCCTTTTATTGACTGCTTAAAGAATACAGACTTGGAGTAAAATAGACATGGATTCCAGTCAACCCCACATATTTCTCTGTATGTGACCTGTAGATTCAGTTTTCTTATTTCTAAGAGGAAGTTGTGCTTCTTAACATGTAAGTTCTTTTGAGAGTTCAACATAATATTCTAAAAGCATTTCATACATGTGTGTCACTGAATAAATGATAGTTAATACCATGCTTTGAATACCTAGAAACTTAGACTAATAAGACTACTATTCAGTTTTGCTAATACCAGAATTTGATCTTATGTGCTCATTTTATTTATTTGAAATCATTCCTCTTAATCTTCATTTATAAGCTCCAATTTTGTGTATCTTTTAAAAAGTCCACTATTTTTTTTTAAAGTTGATATTGGCCAGGTGCAATGGTGCATGTCTTTAATTCCAGCTACTAAGGATGCTGAGGCAGGAGGATCATAAAGTCAAGCCCAGCCAGAGCAACTTAGGAAGATCCTGCCTCAAAATTTAAAAAAAATAATAATAATAAAATAAAAAAATTAAAGGCTAGGCAATATAGCTCAATGATAAAGTACCCCTGAGTTCAATCCCTAGTACCAAATATGAGAAATTTAAAAATTCTAAGACAGCCATCTATGAAGACGCAACAAACAACATCATACTTAGTGGTGAAACACTGGGTACTTTATTTCCTGAGATCCAGAATAAGACAAGGATGTCCACTTGTGCCACTTATATATAACATTGTGTAGGAGGTTTTAGCAAGGGTACTTAGGCATAAAAAGAACAAAGGACATATATATTGGAAAGGAATAAGTAAAATTATCTCTATTTATAGATTACATAGTCTTATATATAGAACATTCTTAAGAAACCTACTAAAAACTGTTAAAGCTAATAGACCAGCTTAGCAATTTTGTTTTGTTTCTGTTTTTGTTTGAAACTGGCAATTGAACCGAGGAATGCTTTACTACTGAGTTACCTTCCTAGCCCTTTTGATATTTTATTTTGAAATAGGGTCTCAAGTTGCCCATGGTGGCCTCAAACTCATGATCCTACTGCCTCAGTTTCCCAAGTAGCTGAGATATGGGAAACTCAGTGAGTTTTGATCATAGAAATATACAAATATCAAGCAGATTCTGATAAATTCGCAATGAACCCTCCAAATATGAAATTAAGAAAACAGTGCAGTTTGCAGTAGCATCAAAAAGAACAAAATATTTTGAAATGAATTTTACCAAACACCTCTAAGACTTCTACATTGAAAATTACAAAATATTGTTCAAAAAAAGAAGGACTAGATTAAAATAGGTATCCTGTTTTTATTGATTGGAATACTTATATTGTTAAGGTGGTAGTACTCCTCAACTTGATCTATGGATTCCACCTGCTTTTGGTAGAAATGAGCAAATTGATTTTATCATTCACATGAAACTTTCCGATTCTGGCATAAAATGACCCATTTTCTAGGATATTCAGAACTCAAAATAGGTAAAACAATCTTGACAAAGAACAAAGTCAGAGGATTCATGCTTAGTGATTTCAGCTCCTACAAGAATCAAGACAGAATGGTACTGACAAGAGGATAGACATATTGATCATAAATGAATAACCATTTGGAATAAATTGAAATTGAGAAACCAGAAAAAGCCTTCACATTTAGGGTCAATTGATTTTGACAAGGGCTTCAAATTAATTTAATGGGGGGGGAAATAATCATTTCAACAAATGGTGCTAGAACAACTGGATATCTACGTACAAGAAAAAAAAATTGACTGGTTCCTAACAAAGTATACAAAGGCTAACTTACATCATGGAACTAAATGTAGGAACTCAGAATAACAAATTCTTAAAAGGAAATTTTGACTATTCCACAAATAATACTCTTTTCATAAAAAGCCAAGAGTTCAGAGAGAGGAAGAAAGGATGAGGCAAACATTTTTCACAGGTCTGTTGGTGGGGAGTGAAAAGAGGCAAAATGAAAGTGTTCTGAAAGTCTTGTACTGAATTGTGGGTAAGACTAGGAAAAAAAATTATTGGGGAAATGTTACCTCTTGTTAGAAGTATACTTGATAATTCATTTAAATAATAGTTTGAACTATATTGTTTAAATATGTTCAAGTAATGGATCTAAGTAGAAGAAAGGGAGGTCAACATTATGAAAATGGAAAAATAGAAGGTAACCATGAAGAAAATGGAGAATTTTTTACAATTTTAAATTAACATAAGAAAATGGAAAGATTAGCAACATAACCAAACCAGTAAAAATAAAGGAAAAGGAGGAAAAAAATGTAAGATAAATGATAAACATGAAGTAAGAGAAAATAATAAAAATCAGTTGTACATTGGTCATCACATTAAATGTAAATGGATTGAATTCTTCAATTACTAGACAAATTGCAAACAACAGCAAAAAAAATGGGAAGCTCAAAGTTGTAAATAATGAAATGAACAAATATTAGCAGGAGGGACAATATTAACATGCAAGGTAAAATTCAATATTAAAAGCTCCAAAAGGATAAGGAAGAATATTATATAATTGTAGAAGACACAAATTTTGGAATAGTAGACCTTAACAATAAATTAGCAAACTATCAACATATGCTTACCTCCCTTGTTAAATTGACCTCTACAATGAAAACTAAAGAAAACTAAACAAAGGAACTGAAGAACACGTTAAAAGTTGAAAATATCTCCCATATTCTTGGATAGGCAGAATTAATTTTGTCAAAATGGCCATACTACCAAAAGCTCTGTACAGATTTAATGCAATTCCTATCAAAATTCCAATGATGGTATTCATAGAAATAGAAAAATCATTCATGAAATTCATTTTGAAAAAAAAGAGGCCCAGGATAGCAAGAAAAGTGAAGCAGGAGACACCACAATACCAGAACTTAAATTATGCTACAGAGCTGTAGTCACAAAAACAGCATGGTATTGGCACCAAAACAGACATGAAGCCCAGTGGTACAGAAAAGAAGACACAGAGACAATCCACATACAGTGATTTCATACTAGACAAAGGGGCCATAAACAAATGTTTGAGAAAAGATAGCCTCTTCAACAAATGGTGCTAGGGAAACCGGAAACCCATATGTATCAAAATGAAATTAAACTCCTATCTCTCACCCCATGCAAAATTCAACTGAAAGTGGATCAAGGACCATTAGACCAGAGACCCTGCACCTACTGGAAGAAAAAGTAGGCCGAACTCTCCATCATGTTGGCTTAAGAACCAAATTCCTCAACAAGACTCCTAAAGCACAGGAAGTAAAATCAAGAATCAATAAATGGGATGGTATCAAACTAAAAAGTTTCTTCCAGCAAAGGAAACAATCAAGAAGGTGAAGAGAGAGCGTACAGAATGGGAGAAAATCTTTGCCACCTGCACCTCAGATAGGGCATTAATCTCCAGGATATATAAAGAACTCAAAGAACTTAGCACCAGAAAACCAACCAACCAACCACGAATAACCCAATCAATAAATGGGCAAAGGAACTGCACAGGCACTTCACAGAAGAAGAAATACGACTGGTCAACAAATATACGAAAAAATGTTCCACATCACTAGCAATTAAGAGAACTGCAAATTAAAACCGCTCTGAGATTCTATCTCAACTCTAGTCACAATGGCAAGTTTCAAGAACACAAGTAACAATATTTGGTGGCAAGGATGTAGGGGAAAAGGCTCACTCATACATCACTGGTGGGACTGCAAATTGGTGCCACCACTCTGCAAAGCAGTATGGAGATTCCTCAGAAAACCTGGAATGGAACCACCAACTCACAAATGGAACTCACTCACTCACCCAGTTATCCCACTCCTTGGTATACCCGCAGGATTTAAAATCAGCATATCATAGTGACATAGCCACATCAATGTTTATAGCAGCTCAATTCACTAAGCTATGGAACCAACCTAGGTGCCCTTTGACAGATGAATGGATAAAGAAAATGTAGTGCCTATACACAAGGGAATAATATTCAGCCATAAAGAACAATGAAATTATGGCATTTGCTGGTAAATGGATGGTACTTGAGACTATCATGCTATGTGAAATAAGCCAATGCCAAAAAAAACAAAGGCGGAATACTCTCTAATATGCAGATGCTAACACAGGATAAGGGGGCAGGTGAAGAAAAGAAATTCATTGGATTAGACAAAGGGGAATGAAGGGAAGGGAGGGAGAATGGCAATAGGAAGATGGTAGAATTAGTTGGATATAACTTTCCAATGTTCACATATGCATAAGAGCAATGTAACTCTACATTATGTACAACCACCAGAATGGGAAGTTATACTGCATGTATGTATAATATGTCAAAATATACTCTACTATTATTTTTATCTAAAAAGAACAAATTAAAAACAAAATAGATACGCTTATAACTTTTATTACTCTGGAATGTCTGCATTATTTTTTCCAAAATGTTCACAGAACATTTACAAAAATTCTTTGTCAATTGACCACAAAGATTACCTTTACAAATTAAGAGTAGATCTTTGATAGGAATCAATTCACTGATGTTAATTCAATACAATTCTAAAAAATAATAAAATCCCCAAATCTTAACTACTTGGAAATTAAGAAATGTATTTCTAAGTAATATTAGGACAAAGACAAGTATTTTACAAAGCAATAAATAGCAAAATGCTTTGTACAACCATCTGTAGGACTTAATGAGAGCAATCCGAGAGTTGAAATAGGGGGAAATTTGTCAATTTTGACTATCAAAACTAATAAAATTAGGAACAAACACAACAAGAAGGGAAAATGTAATTGAAGGGCATTAAATATGTCAGTTTACCCTAAATTAAGTTTTAAAAAGTTTTTTCCCAGAATTATGTAAAAATATACTTAGGTTTCTATGGGGGAAATAAATGTTCCTATGTAGCTAGGGATCGCATAAAGTAGAAGAATAAGAGTGTATATAAAGGGTTGCGGTTGAGGCTCAGTAGTAGAGTGTTTGCCTAGCAGATGTGAGGCACTGGGTTTGATCCTCAGCACCACATAAAAATAAATAAATAAATAAATGTATTGTGTCCATCTACAACTAAAAATCTATATACATTAAAAGATATTTTTAAAAATGTATATAAAGCCTGTGGTGTCACTGAAGACTAAACATAAAGATGAATGAAACAAAGTAAAAAGAACCTAAGATATATAAGAATTATAAGATGTGGCAAAAGTTTTCTAAAATATAAAAATGTATATGAATGGTACTGTACCAGTGATATTGACTGCTAGGTAGAAAATAAAAGTGAACCTACGATATTACCATACACCAATAGATTACAGATGGATTAAAGATGAAATCAGAGAAAAACAAGACTTAAATCTGAAAAGAAAACTTAGAACTTTACATATACAGTATATAGGTGTGGAGAAAAGTCATCTTAAATAAAAGATGATATGTGACCATGTATAAATGTTAAAACTCTTCTATTGCCAAAGATGCCCCCAGATCCATAGAAAAATGAAGGGGTATTTTTCACTCACTCACATTGTAAAAGGAAAATATAAATGAGCCCTTTTAAATTAGCAAAGAAAAGACCAAAACAGTTGAAAGTGAACAGGGATTAAAAATAGAGAGTAAATAGGGGCTGGGATAAAGCTTCATACAAAAGGCCCTGGGTTCAATTCCCAGCACCAGAGAGAGAGAGAGAGAGAGAGAGAGAGAGAGAGAGAAAGAAAGAATATAAAGGCTTATTCAGATAACTGAGAAAAATGAGGAAATAAATAAATTGATTGGTAATTAGGGAAAGTAAATTTTACTTTTCCCATGGCAAAAATCTAAAACAAAATGTGTGCCTGTCAACAGGATTGGTTGAAAAGCTTTGGTGTATATATACCATAAAATATAGTGCAGACCTTTTAAAGGAATCTGAGCTATACCAGTAGGCTTGGAGGGAGTTTTCTCTCCCATCAACTAAGAAACATGAACAGAACCCTTTTCTAAAAAGAAAATGTAAATAAAGGGCCTCTAAATGAATGTGTTTATATGAGTGTAGGAGCAGGGAAAAACATGGATGGGTGAAAACTGGATGGTTAATGTGGGTCATATCTATCTGGAATTTGAGATTGGCTGATAAAAGGGAAGAAGTGGGGACATTGAATTAAAGAAAAACCACTTGAAGAGGCAACATTTCACTTATGGATATTTATATAACTTTTGAAAATAAAGTTTTTAACAAAAATGATAAAAGTGAAGAAAAATGATTTATGGACCTAAGATAATAAAGTGAATTCTCATATCTATATAGCTATTAAAACACATTTCATCCATGAACTTTACCTTGTCAAATTGTTCAAATATCTCATAATTATGCTTTTTAATAAGTTTTTTTATTATTCATTTATTATTTATTTTGCTGTTATCTTTGTTGCATAAAAGTTTATGTTAATTCTCCTTTTATTATCAGATGCTATCCTACTCTATCTCATTTAGTGCTGTTGGTCATGACTACATTTTATAACAAAATGTTACTAGTGACTGTGTTTATCTCATATATTCTTACTTTTCACTTTTTTCTATTATTTGTTTCACAAGTATCAACTATAAATAGTATATAACAGTATTTTTTTCGAATCTTTAAAAAGTAATCATATAACCCTTTCACACTTACTATAGTAATTAATAACTTGATTTTATTCTTTTGATCTGATTGTGATGTATAGATGATTTAATTCTATATGACTTCCACATTTATTTTGGATACAAGAATTCTCCTTTCAAAGATAGTTGTGAGAGAATTCCAATTCTCAATTTTATGTATTTAATAAATGCAATGGTTGTTGCAGACAAACTTACTGAGACTATTTTTCTTTCTTCTGTGATATTCATGAAGATAAACTAAGTGGCAACAGTAACACAAACAAAAGACAAAAAATTGCTCAGGACTTTCTCAACTCTATTGACCAGACAGGAGAACTTCTGGCAATGTTTGAAGATGATGAAATTGATGAAGTTAAACAAGAAAGAATGGAGGTATAGTACATGCTTCTCTTTTTACAGTAATGTAACAATCATCATGGTGCTTGTATATTTGGTTCTTGTATTCTTCAGCTGTTTTCTGAAATCCCCAAATCAATTGTTTTATGTCTCATGGCAGCAGTATACAGAGGAGTAAGGTCTGGAGAAAGATTCAGACATTGCCTTTACAGTTGAGTTCAGGAAATAGCTTAGTGTTTCTCTGTTTCTTTAAAAGTGAGTAGGTTTCCTAATCTGGATCTGACATTTGTTGGGTTTTATATCATTAAAACTTGTATATAATTAATCATTTACTTATTTTTTCTTATAAATTATCTAGTTGTATTTGGGGCAGAGGTAATTTTTACTGCTTTTGTTTTGGCCTGTAGCGTGCAGAGATGTTTTTTAGACTGTTTCTAATAGGCTGTGGTCAGCCTCATCAGTTAAGATAGTATCTAAAGCAATTGCATGTTTTATATCACTGAAACACAAAGTTAGTGACATATATTTGGATTCTATAGATTTATTATAACAATGAAGAAGAAAACATATGTCTTCTACTTATTTTAGTTATCTATAAATAAAATTGGTTCTTTAAATATACTTCAATAAAATTAAGAGTAATAATTTTGTCTGCATGCCTTCCAAACTGCAAGGCAGTGGTCTTATATTCTTATTATAATACTTTTACATGTAAGACATCCCAGTTTTTCTCTTTTCTTTAAATTGGGCAAGAGAGGTAATTCCAGAATTCCAAAAGATGTTGCTAAATGTCTACATTATCATACACTTTATCTACACATGCTAAAAATATATTATTTCATGTTAAATTCTGGAGGAAGTCCAATAGACATAATGCTTTATATACTGTAACAACCTTCTTTAAGGAATTAGTATGCTTAGATCATGAACTGTGATCTAAAGGCAATGTTCTTTTAGGTATCAATTACTTTAGAAATGTGTGGTTATCTTGGTTTGGGGCAACTGCAAATGGTTTTAGTTCAACTTTGCCTTGGGCCAAAAACATGCTAAGTTGTCCAAAACAGATGATAAACATGCATTTCTGGTGTCATTATGGCCTAAACAGGATATGATTGTTTAGTGACATGGTTTTGTTTATGATGTATTATGTAGAGAGAAAATCTTGTTTATGCTTTATTTTTAAAATATTTTATATTATAAAAATAGACATTAAAAGTCATTAAGGAAAGGGTCTACATAAAACAATTAAAACGGAACAAGTAGCTTTTCAAGTTTGATGTGAAAATTTTAGCTAATCAAGCTTGTTGCCCAGAAGGGGATTCCACAATCAATGAGGAAGAGAAAAAATGGAGCATTTTGTAACTCTGAGCTCATGCTTGGAAAATCAAGTCAGTAAGGTACTAGTTAAAATCAATAAAATATTTGGAATTTAAGAGTAGAAAAATCTTGAGCACTTACATAGTCTGTATACCACTTCCCTATGTTATATTGGATAATAAAACATCAATAGTTAATAAAAATAGTGAAATTCTGCTTCATCTATAAGCAAGAGATTAACAGCTTAAGTTTTTATAACTAAAATCTTCTGTAACTCAGACAATAAAAAATAGTTTTGATATTCTACTCATCCATATAACAGAGTGCATCTGAATAAAATGTGATGGACTTGTAGACATAACTGTAGACAGTAGAAAGTGGAACTGTTAAGAGCAGAGGCCTTGCCTGCTTCTAATTTGACAAGTTACAGTTTCAAGAGTAAACCACAACTGTGGCAGTCCATCTGAAACCACTTTGGACTCACAGACTACAATCTCTTGCTTTTAAAGTGCAGTAGAATAATCATTCTTGGCATCATTGAGTGATTTGATTTTTCTCTAAGTATCACTTGGAGTCACAAAAACTATTTACTGTCTTCTCCTCTAGAATGTATGAAAATGGTATATTCCTACCAACCATGCCTACTTTGTGTTCTTTTTGTTGTTCATGATGATGTTTCATTAGTTTATTTAAATTAATTTAAGAGAGAGAAACTTTTATAGACATAAAATCTCACTTGGGACTCCAGTTTTGTCCCAAAACATTGAGCAAGCATACAGCAAACAGAATGGCTTATTTGCTATGGTTTTCAGCTGATATGTGTGTGCCTGCCTTTGTGTTTCACTCCTAATGTACTTCATTACTATTAAGTACTATGTGACATGAAATATGAAAAATGTCTTACTTTTACATCCTTTTACCTTGCTAGTTCATCATCAAGATAGCTAATTAATTCCTACCTTGTTCATTGGCCTCCAGCACCAAATTTCTTAACACTTGGGTATATCTTTAGTAGAGATACATAAATATGATCTTTGAAGAGCCTCTCAGATTATCAAATAAAATTTAAAAATGTTCAGAGTCGTTTTTAGTATCTTTGAAAGATTGAGAAGTATAAGCTGGAAAATGGTAATCATAATAATAAATAAAAATACAGCTCTCTTCCAGCTACCCCTCATTATACCTATTCCCCTCCTAAATGAGGCAGGTGTGCTCTGACGTTGATAATGTTTTGTTATTTCATTTTTTAAATTCTAATCAAGTAAATGGACTTGGTGTAAACCAGAAGCTTAGAAAAAAGGGAGAAGTATTGTCATTCACAGAACATTTCTACCTAAGACGCTGCTACTCTGTTTACGGAGGAACCTGAGAAACTCAGGTTTACCATTGGCAAAGTAAATTATCTAGCTACTGAGTTCGCAGAGGGCATGTAAACAGTGGACACTTTAAAAACTTAAGTAAACTGTGCCTTCACTCCTGTCTTCAAATTGATTATGAGTATTAGAGAGCAAGAATTATAACTTACTAGAGAAAGTGGTCTTTAAACAGGTTAGGGTGCAGAAATTCCTGTGTCTATTTATGTTAAGTCAGTGGCTTCATAATTTAATCTGGAAAGAAAGCAGAAAGGTGGAAATAAAATTCAAGGCAGCTTTTTAAAAAATAAATAAATAAATAAACCCAGGGGAGCTCTATCACTGAGTTATATCCCCAACTCCTCCTTATTTTATTTTTAATTTTAAGACAGGGTCTCTAAGTTGCTGAGACTGGCTTCAAATTTGCAGTCCTCCTGCCTCAGCATCCCAAGTAAGTGGGATTACAGTCATGTGTCACTGTACCAGACCTAAAAGTTTTTGTTTTTTTAATAACCTTAAAATTGAGTAGTATTCTTGATGGCTATTTGAATTTGCTTAACCTGAAATGAAATGGCTATCAATTTTTAAAACAAGCGTCTCACCAAGCTTGAATGATAAGAGAAATTGGGCATATTGTTCAACTGTACCTCAAGTATTATGAGGTTGTGATCCTTAGGGATTTTCTGTCCCAAGCTTTTGAGATTTTAACAGGTAAATGAACTAGAAAACACATCAAAGAGCCAGGAGGAGTAAATGACTATGAAAGTTCTCTATCTTCTTCTATTTTTCAAGTGTCTCCTTTCTTTTAGTCCCTATTTCTACCTGTGATGATATTTATTAATTATGAAGGAAAGGAAAATAAAATGCTTTTAAAATCAAAGAGTCCAAATATACCTTAAATAAGAATAACACAAAAGAAAAAACACTAATATCAGTTTAGATAATTTTTAACAGATTGATTTAAAACCTGAAACTCAAAAAATGTTAATAATTTAAATGTATGTGGCATTAAGAAATTAAGATAGGGTTGAGGTTGTAGCTCAATGCTAGAGTACTTGCTCAGCATGTATAAGACCCTTGGTTCAATTCCTAGCACTGGAAAGAAACAAGAGAAAGAAGAAAGAGAAAGAAATAAGAAAGAGCCAGGCACAATGGTACATGCCTGTAATCTCAGTGGCTTGGAAGGCTGAGGCAGGAGGATCTTGAGTTCAAAGCCAGCCTCTGCAAAAGCAAGGTGCTAAGCAACTCAGTGAAACCCTGTCTCTAAATAAAATATAAAATAGGGAAGGGTATGTGACTCAGTGGTCAAGTGCCCCTGAGTTCAATAGATGGTACCCCCACCCCCCAAAAAAAGGAAGTAGAAAGACTAGGAAGATGTATGTAGTTTATATATATATATATATATACACACACACACACACACACACACACACACACACACACACACAGAGTTTTATATAAATATATACACCTATGTCTATATAGATAAAGCATATAGGAATGTAAATCATTCGACTAGATTTTTTTCCATATTTTTATTGGTGCATTATAGCTGTACATAATGCTGAGATTTGTTGTTACATATTAGTACATGCATACCCTATAAAGACCAGTTTATTTTTAAAGGTAAAAGAACAGTCAGAGATATGTCAGACAGCCCCAAATGCTAATGATAACAACATTAGTTTCAGTGAAAGAGAATTTAAAGAGAAAAGCTTTTAAATGGAATAAAGACAGTGATTTTATATTACCGAATGATGTGGCCTATATTGAAAATAAAGTAAATATAAATCCCAGAGCATTCAATATAACAAAAAAACTTTGGGTAGTTCAGAAAGGTCACAGAAATGCATTTGTGGTAGAGACTGGAACATACCATTCCTGATCTTTAACAGATTTATTCATGGGAAATAAGATTCAAATAAATATCTATCTGCTGAATATGTATAAATTTTATAAATAAGCAACAGTTTTAAAATCTTATTCAGGTAGCTCTAAAGAGTCCCTGAGGAGTAGGTGGCCCCTACCTAACCCCCACATCTTCTTTAGTCATCATTCTACAGTTTAATGTAATGCCTCTTCATCTCGTCAGTGAGGAAACTGTTTGTCTACTGTTTTAATTGATAAACTATTCATCTGTCCATAAGAAGAGTCAACAAAGGATATGATTCATCAAAAGAGCATATTGCCATGTCTGGTTATTTTAAGGGTAATTTTTGTTCAAATGATTTTAAAAGTACTTTATGAAATTATTATTCAGGAAATGCTAATAGAAGCACCTCAAGGACTTTATATTTCTAGCTATACAGGGCAGCATTAATGTAACTTACTATGATTTTCTGACCTAGAAGCTACAAAAATGGTAGT